ACCAGGCGGCACGTCAGTGGCAGCTTCACGCGCACGCTCGTGCGCGCACGCTGAGACACCCGCCCACCCACCTGCGCCCACCTGCGCCCTCTCTTTATCACCTTATCTGTGTGTCCGGCACGCACTTATGCACTGCCTTCTCACAAGCTGCCGGGCCCCTCTCCCGCGTGCTCCCTCTTGCAATCGAGTGCGCGCCATGGGGCCAACAACTTATCAACAACCACTGGGTGCTGTGAGAAGTAATTGGCGTGTCATCAAGGCTACTGCCAGCTGGCTGCAGCGAGCTACCAATGTGTTGGTCACGCGTGGTGCAAGCTTCTTCCACCACAGGTGCGTATGCATCCTGCGGCTTCACGGAGTGGGGCTTGTGTGGCTGTTTCGGTCGTGGCGTGCCTGGCCCTGCCTGTGTCCGCCTTCCTAATGAGTCCGCGCACTGCACAGCCTTCTGACCGTTCCCACGCATGGCCGCCCTTTCTTCTCCTGCCTTAATGTAGGTGTTGCCCATCAGCACCTGGTTGCATCGACATTGCCATGCGTCAGCGCGGCACGCATGCCTTCTTGGCCGCAGGTCAGTGGAAGGGTCGATGCATGCGCTAGCAAAAGAGTCTGCTTGCCGGCAAGTGGCTGCAGTCGCAAACCAGCTGTACTGTGTCAGAAACACGCAACCCCTGCCGACCCTTTGCCTCTAGGCATTTGGATTTCAAGACTGGCGAGTTGACATTAAGAAGGGTGTTGCAGTCAGTCCTGGTAATTGGTTTATGCCAGATACTTGTAACCCTTATATTGTTCAGGAATGTAGAACGAATGTTGAAATTGTGCACCCTTGAGGAGCTGAAAATCAAGCTGATTGACACCAGTTGCAGTATCAACAGCATCCTTGTATACCTACATGAACATTGGGGCCACGCACAGAGCAGGCATGGTGTGCGGTGGCCAGCAGCAGAGCCAAGCAGCCTACACAATCATTTGATCAGCACATATACACCGGCAGGCGCTCTGTAGATCAGCCAGCCTGTGATGCAACATTGTTTTTGCTTCGGCGGCGTAGAACTGTGCATCCTCTATGTGCAGGGGTCCGCACATGAAAAGACAAGTGCATGTCACGTGGGCTGCAGATTTGTGATCGCCAAGCATGCCAGGAAGTGTTAGTGTCACAGAATGTCAGCAGGTGTGTTGCTGTCCTTGAGCGTGTCGAGCGAGTGTCGCTATGCGAATTTCTGGCACGCCTCTCACCATAAGTATGTTTGCCCTTTGGAGGGTCAGACCATTCCGAGTGCTTGGTTTCCTTGCAGGACGGGCGCCACAAGACACGCAAGCGACGCGCCTTATCAACAATGCATCTGCGCTGATAGCGGGAGGACAGGGTTGATCGTCCCTTGCCACGCGATCGCCGGCAAATGAAGCTATTTAGGCTTTGAATATTGAACAAAGGGAGCTATGCTGAAGCAGACATACATGCACCAGGCTAGGAGCATGCCGACCCTGAAGTTTGAGGCAGGGACATGAGGGAGCCCATATCCTGGATGGCAAGACAGGGCTGGAGGTATCCTGCTCGCAAAGGATCGCTTGCGTACCGTACTCATGCTGCACACCTGACTGACCTCACACCTTGCACCAGCAGTGCCCCTTCCCAGCTTGTAACTTTGCAATACCACACCATCGTCTTCAATTGTCTCGTAACCCATTTCCAATAACTAATTTGTATCGCAAGCTTTCACACGCATACGTGTACACATCGTCGAGTCCTCCGACCAGTCAAACTCCCAGCAAAATTCCATGTCTTGAGGAAGCCAGAGTGGCAGGCACAGCCGAAATGCAGCTCGCTGCGGGGAATCAAGTCTTATTCAGGCCGGCGGAGGGTCAGGCTAGGTATGACTGGAAGCTGGGTACGATCTCCAAAGTGGAGTTCTCGCCGGAGGGTGTCGTTTACGAGGTGGAATATGTGAAGGTAACGGAGCTTTTGGCGGCAGATAGCAGTGCATGGCGGCAGATATCCCGCATGCGCATACCTTTGCAGCGGTGCGTCTGCGTTCGCAGTGAGCGCTGCACCAGCCTGCTGCAGGCTTTCCCCATGATACTTTTGGTGTGTACATCCAGGCGAAAGTTGCCAACGCAGCGCTCGTTGCCTATTTTTGCCAGGAGACGACCAACCAACTCGGGTGGACATCGCTGGACAACCCCAACTTCACAGTGCGGCCGCTGCCGCCTGCTGGCCTGCTGCAACCCACTAAAGCCAGGCGCGGCGCGGCCGTATGGGCGTGGAATGCGGCAACGGAGACGTACATGTCGGGTTTCTTATGCAGCACCTCCAAGACGCAGCAGTCCCTCGTCCTTTGCAAAGGTGGGTTTGACCATGTAAAGGAGTCACACAATCACGTGTCGCCCCTGGTTGCAACAGTGGGACGCAAGGCGACACTTTTGATGTATACCAACGGCCAGTCCAGATAACTGCATGTCTCCACGCACCTGGGAGGCACTACAACATGAGAGGTTTGACATCCGACTCAGCAACAGCCGTGCATGCATTCGCTGCAGGGCGTACATTTCCAGCCAACGTGCCAGCAGCACAGCCCCCAGGCACCCGCAACGGCAACAACGGGTCCAGCCTCTCTGAAGTTTGACGTTGCGCATCAAATCGCAGGGTGCTGCGAATTTCACATCTTCCCGTCCAACCAGGTCAGGCCCGCCCTCAAGTTTCAAGGCGGCGAGTGGTCTGTTAAGCAGCTGGGCAAGACTGGGCTGCTACGCCTGCTGTCGAGGCTCGCGGTGAGCGCGGACGCGTCACGCGTGCTGGCTGCTTGGACATTCAACATCGGACAGTCAGCACTTGCATGTTGCAGCAGCTGTTGGAAGTGGGCTTGCGCTACTCAGCAGCAGTTTGGACGGGTGTATGTCCGTCGGCCCTGAGGTTGATGGACACGAACACGTTGCCTGGCTCGATCACAGCAGATGGATAGAACGCAACCTGGCTCTCAACACCTGCCGCGCTTGCCTGCCTCATCCACTGACCTTGGCTTGTGAAAACCGCAGCGGCTGGCTCGCACCGGCTGGAGGAGTGTCGGGATTGAACTGTTCCAGTTCCCGGCCAAAGGCGACAACCCGGGCGGCCTCGGGTGGGGCGTCAAGGCGCGCCGCAAGTCTGTAGTGACTGGCGGGGGGGAGGAGTGGCTTCACGGCCCGTTCCCGACAGCAGTGGCCGCCTACGCGGCGTCCTGCGAGATGGTGCTGCTCGAGGGCCGCAAAAAGAGCAGCAGGCTGGCGTTAAAAAACGACCAGGACATCAAGCTGGTGCGCGGCTAGACGTACGTGTGCACCCGGGCTGTTGAAAACCGCACGCGTGTGAGCTGCCAGTCTCGAGCCACCATAAACCCTGGCTCGCTCTTCACTTGGTTCGTGAACCGGTTCTGGCTTTTTCAGAACAATCCGTGCGACGCGTACACATGCTGCCCCTTGCGTTTCCCACCCTTGCAGGTGCTGGAGGCCTACCACGGCCTGGAGGACGGCTACCGCACCACAGCGCAGGCCTGGCAGGACATTGTGGGCAAAGCTGCCGTCCCATACTGTCAGATCCCAGCTGACATCGGCGCCGGCGGTGGCGGTGATGATGGCGGTGATGATGGCGGTGGCGGTGGCGGTGGCAGTGGCGGTGATGATGGCGGTGGCGATGACGCCGGCGGTGGCGGTGCTGGTGACGGCGGCGGTGGCGGTTACGGCGGCGATGGTGGTGGCGGTGGCGGCCAGGTGGGCGGTGCACAGCAGGGAGTGGCGCGTGCGTGGCGCTCTGGTCTCCACGCTTCAGCCGTGTACGCGACCGCCTGCAGAGGGCCACTGCCCGGGCGCTCGTGCGATGGTTGACGCCGCACCGCAGGACACGCCAGCACATGAGACCGTATCGCCCATATCAGCCAAACCACCAATCTGCGACTCAACACTCTCCTTCCCTGCAGCAGCAGGGGGGTGTGCCTCTGTATGGAGGGGACGAGGCTGCGGACGCGGCGCAAGCTCTGATGGAGCTCCAGGCCGGGCCACGGAACGCCCCGGAGGACCCCAGCACAGGCCCAGCGCGGGTGCCAGCGGCTGCGCCGATGGAAGCGACCGCACCGGCGGCGGAGGGTGACGGGGACGGCGGACCGGCGCAGGGGTATGAGGAGGCTCTGGAGGCCCAGGTGGCATCCGGCAGCAGGCAGCTGAAGCGGGTGCGAGCTTCGAGGCCGTTGACAGTTAGTTTTGGGATCACTTCGTTGGAGCCTGATGTTGGGTGGGTTGTGCTGGTGTCGCTCTTGTGATTTCCACATGCCAACTTTCTAGGCTGCTCCTGCTAAGAACGTATCCCTGGGATCAACACTGCACACAATGCACTTCTCACTCCGTAGGCGCGCATGGTGTCGCCCGTGCCTCAGCCAACCTGGATGGCATCCCTGCCAGCTGTGCCTGCGCCCGCGCCCGCGCCTGCACCCGCTCCCGCTCCCGCCCCGCCGCCGCCGCCGCGGCTGGCGCCGGAGGTGGCGATCGCTGCAACCGTGTCGGCCCTCACACGGCCAGCTCCCAAGAGAGGCAGGGCCAGCGGTTCCGACGAGGGGGGCGCCGTTGATGCGGCGGGGGCAGAGACGGGGACAGCGGCTGTGGAGGGGGAGGAGGCGGGGCTGGGCGCTGGTCCGCAGGGGCCATGGGCGGCGCTGCTGCTTGGACCAGCACCCCTCGCGCCCGCTGTGCGAGGCGGCGCGCCAGCCGCCCCTGAGCAGCTGGCGGCGGGCGGCCCC